TGGGTACTTTGTTGAGTCGGGTTTGATCGAGTTCGTAGTCATAGTTGATTGAGTTTGGATTTTGATGGTGATAACTTTTACTGTTGTTAACGCACAGGTCCTGGTGATCTTGAGCGAAGTCGCAGGTCTGCAGGTCCTCGACGAAGACGGTTCCAGGCGCACACTGAAAGTGATACACTTGCCAGTGGTCGCCCATCTGTGGATTGACAATTATCTGGTTATGGACAGGTACAAATGTTATATAAATAGTAGTTAAATGAAATTCGGTGCACAAAAATAATGCTTGGTATTTATGTTTACTTTTCGGTATAATCCTGATATCGATTTGGATTTTAATGCTCGTAGAAGTACTATGGTACTCAAAAAGTTTCCTCTCAAATGAAAACCGCTAAACGACATGCACAAACCTCTCTTTTTCTTATGAAACATGGTATCAGATACAGCAATACGTTGATATAAGCTCACCTGGTGACAGCTATAGAAGGCAGTGCAGTCCTTTGGGTCTGTATTGAAGCCTTCCCTGTGGCAGACGGTGCTTGGGGGTGGCGGAGGAGAAGGTGTTGTTGTAGTGGTGGTGTCCTGCGAATAGATAAAACCAGTACGCGGGTAAATATTATCCTTATTTGTCACACTTCCTCAGACCTAAACACTTGGATAATCTCGTAGCATCCACATAAACAGAGACCGATGCCGGGTGTTTCAAAGAGAAGGGGGGGGGGGGGGGGGTGACTGTGAATTAAGAGAGCACCGAAGGCGCGCGGCCATAACCTAAAGCCTCTGCGAGGAAGCGTAGCTTTGGAGAGAAAAGTGAGGGGAAGTTACGTACCCAGGCAGATATACACAACTAATATCTGCATTTGATATTTGTGAAAAGTATAAGTGAATTTTCAAACAGTTGGATTATTTTGAGCAGGTCGACAGCTAAGCATATGGCCAAGGTATAATTCTCAGAGGAATGCATGATCTAGTCCTTACAGTTGTGGTTTCTGGCTCCGGGGTGGGTGTAGGTGTGGGCGGGGGAGTGGGCGTCGGGATAGGTTTGCCGTCTCTCAACACAGTTCTGATGGTAGTGATGAGCGGGAAAGGTCCGGCGTGACAATTCCCATGGAAGTCATCTGTCTCGATTGACCACACCATTGCTCCAGCGAGACCAAGTGACACAATATACGACGCCTGTTTGGAAATATGTATTTTTGATAAATGAGCAAAAAGGGTAATATATATAATACAAACAGAATATCTACTATAAACCATTCTATGCCAAATCATGTATTTCTGGTAATGAAGCTCTACCTTCGTCTCTACAGACTGGACGTCGTCATAGCCACACCATTGGCGCTCTCTGTAGGCGTACGGGGAAACCATGTGGGCGTCTCTGACCACTGTCCACGTCTCACGCCCTTCAGATTCGCATATCTGGTTGAAAGGCATTAGGTTGAGATGGTATTTATTAACGGAATATAGTACACAAAGCCAAAATTATTACTAATTTAGATGTACATCACATCATTGTTGTTATGTATCACTATTATTCTTATTCTTAGATCTTTACGTTCCTGGCTCATGCGCACCACACTTTTTCCTCACAGAAACAACTCTCATCCATTTACAGCACAAAACAGTAACAATACGTAAGACTACAGGAATACAAATTTCCAAACGTACTTCGTTGAACCCTTGCATGCCAGGCGCCCTCGTATACGGCCCGGGTAATCCAGGCTGGTAGGACGGGGCGTACACATCGTGCTGGTCAGCCCTAGCGAGAGTGAAGCAGCGTCCGTACAGACCTATGCCGACCACCAGCTTCTTCTGCGGCACACCGAGCTTAAGCCAGTACTGCACGGCGTAATCCTTGAGGAACAGGAAAAAATATTGAACAAAAATTCCGTATCGTATATCACCTGTGCTGTCTTTACTGTCGGAGTAATAGATGGCACTTAGCAATATATAAATACCACCAAAATATTGGACAAGAATTTCGTATCCCATATCAACTGTACTGTCAAAAGTGTCGAAATGATAGATGAAATTTAGCAATATACGAATACCAACGTATGTAAGATGGAAATTCAAGAAATCATTTGCAGCAATTCGCATTCGACGTCACCACAAACGCCAGAAAAAAATTCTTAAGAACAGCACACTCACCACATTCAGTTTGAGGTTGTTTCCTTTGTCGCCGGCGTAGGCGTACAGCGGGGAATGGTGATGGGCGAATTGTTCCCAGGTGCCGTGGAGGTCGTACGCCATCAGGTGGACAAGATCTAAGTTCCTGCAGAAGAGATGCGAGAGACGAGGAAAGTAAGACGGTGTTCGTCGAGAATATGTGCTCATATAAACAACTCATGCACACATACACACATGCTTACTTATATAATTATAAAAATGAACATACATACATATATATATATATATATATATATATATATATATATATATATATATATAGTATATATATATAGTATATATATATGTGTGTATAACTTTATATACACACATACATACACACACACACACACACACACACACACACACACACACACACACACACACACACACACACACACACACACACACACACACACATGTATATACATATATATATATATATATATATATATATATATATTTTTTTTTTTTTTTTTTTTTTTATATATATATGCATATATACATATATATGAATATATATATACATATACACATACATACATACATACATATATATTCATATGTTATGCATATATATATATATATATATATATATATATATATATATATATATGCATATATATACATATATATACATACATATATAATTATACATGTTTACATATATATAAATATGCCAACAGCAATACTATTAATAACAGCATCAACAAAAATTACGAAGAAAAAGGCCAACGGAAGGAGCCGAACCCGAAACCGGTTCACGAAGACAAAAGACGCGAGACAAGATCCGGCCGCAAGTTTGACTCATTTTCTCGGAAAATGAACAAAAAGTCTAGATTTTCCACTGGTCTGACACGAAGCACATCCCGCCCAGATAACGAGGACAAAGAGTGATTCATTCAAGGTCAGTCAACATTGCCTTTGTTTCGCGAGATAAGAAGAAAACGGGGTTAGGCTCTGCTAGGGAGCTTGCGCGTCGTCTTACTTTTGTTATCATCATTGTTGTTTATTTTTATAGTTAGCGTCGTAATAAGGATTATTTTTAATTATCATGAAAATTATTACGATTATGATTATAATTTTTTTACAGTATTATCATTTTTATTTTTGATAGTAGAAGTAGTAATAGTAGTAGTAGTATCAAATTATCATCGTTATCACTGAAATCATCGTTATCTCTACGATTATTAACATTAATCTTATAATTATCATTTTCTAAAAATCATAACGCCAAGTGCTATTTTATCATTACTAGAATTATTATAACCATTAGGACTTTCATTGTATTTATTTATTGATATTATTGATTTATCATACCGCATTATGATCATTACGACTGTCCATTAGCACATAATGTATCGGTATTACTCTCATGACGATTATCATTACAGTTATCATTATCATCACTATCATCATTTTCATCATTAGCAACAGCAATAGTGACACCCTCTACTGTACATAACGTCCAAAAAGTACCGAACATTCATTCATATACTCGAAACACATGCTCGTACGACTCGGGGCGTGTGTTTCGGATCCAAGAATCGAAACTGATAGTTCATGGACTGACAACTGAACGGAGCAACTTGGAAGTAGACTTGCATCTTGTAAATGTCATTAATGTCATATGTTCTAAACTTGAGATGTTACACTACTTAAATAATTGCTAAAAGGATTCAAAGTTCATTGACATTAATGATTGTAAACAAACATTATCCTTTGCCTCTCTGTTGATACGCCTCGAACACGTGAATGACCATAGATAATCATATCAGCGCATACCGTACAAATACACAAGGCAGATACAACCTCATCACCTGCAAACATACAGATCTAGAACAATCCATACTATAGGTCCCCGTAATGTACATAAACAAACAGGCACCCTAAAGAGAATAAAACGCCCTGGAAAGTATCAACACCCGATAATGTATAACACGCAAGAAAGAAAGAAAAAACTTGAGAAAATAAATCATCCTAGTAAGTATAAAAACCCGTAAAGATTATAAAACACATTAGAACATACGAAACCCTCTATATAGCATAAAGGACCTGGAAAGAATAAGAAAATGTTTGAGCGATTCTTTCAAGCAATTCTCCATTCGCACTCACTTCACTAAAGCGGAGACATTATAGGCGGCGTCGATGGTGGCTTCCCCGGCCGACACTGCGGCGGTGAGCATCAGCCCATGCTTGTCGAACCTGGAGCGCATTTCGTCGAGGAGCAGGGCGAAGTTAAGCTGAAGAAGGGGGGGGGGATGTTATACCCCCATGTAAATCATTTCCTCTCCACTCCTTGACGTGGAAATATTTCCTTTACACGCCTAGATTTTCTCTTCCGTTTTTTTTTTTTTGTTTGTTTAATCAAATATTCATATTGTAATTTTTATAGTGTTATCTTTTCTATGAGCCACAAAAAAACTAAGTATATGTGATTTCAAAGAGCTTACCTTGTCTTCAGATTTCCCGCCTCGAAGTGTCGGGTATTCCCAGTCGAGGTCAAGGCCGTCGAAGCCAAACTTCTGCAGGAACAGGACGCAGCTCGTGATGAACTTGTCCCTCGATTCCTCCGTCGCGGCCATCTGGCGACGGGGATGTGGAGGATGAGTATATATATGTTACATATATATGAATATGTAAACATATACATACACACAGTTGACTAAACTGTGATGAGCACAAGAAGAGAGATTCGCGGAGAAAAGAGAATGGCTCAGAGAAGGAGAGAAAAGAGAATGGCTCAGAGGAGAGAAAAGAGAATGGCTCAGAGAAGGAGAGAAAAGAGAATGGCTCAGAGAAGGAGAGGAAAGAGAATGGCTCAGAGAAGGAGAGAAAGGAGAATGGCTCAGAGGAGAGAAAAGAGAATGACAGAGAAGGAGAGAAAAGAGAAATGCACGAAGAAGAGAAAAGATAATGGAACGGAGAAGAGAATGGCAGAGGAGAGAAAAAAAAGTGGCTCAGAGAAAAAGAGAAAAGAGAATGACTCAGGAGAGAAAAGAGGAAGGCACGGAGATGTCCGGAGCCAAGAGCCTGCAGTCCCAACCTGCGAGTACTTGGAGGAGCCCTCGTTCCATCCCCCGATGGCCAAAAGCGTCTTCAAGTCAGGATTGAGTTTCTTGAGTCCCGTGAACCTCTTGAAAGCCCCTGAAAAATAAATACACAATATAAACATAAACAAGACCATAGAAACAGCCTCACAGAACACTACAAGCACCGCTGAAAATCGACTTAGAGATGAAACAGACCTAAAACAAATTAAAACATCAAAACAACAATCATAATAATGAAAATCAAACCGAACAATACCTTTCCCGTAGTTAACATCAAGGTCGTTATAAGGGTCGAGACTGATGATTTCGTGTGTGTCAGCCTTGAGTCCTGCGAAGCCGTAAATAAGGTGCGTGCAGATGTCAGTGTCGATGTCCTCCACGTCGAACTTGCCGGCGCCGGGTCTGTACACGGCCCACGACCCGTAGTAACACACCATCACGCGCTCGTCTGGAAGGGCGAGGGGGACGGTTTAATTTGCGTGTGATAACTACTCTCCTTATCTCTTCTTTTGTATATGTACAAATATATATATATATATATATATATATATATATATATATATATATATATATATATATTTCTGTATACATACACACACACACAAATATATATATATATATATATATATATATATATATATATATATATATATATATATGTGTGTGTGTGTGTGTGTGTGTGTGTGTGTGGGTGTGTTACGTGTGTGTATTACATGTGTGTGTGTGTGTGTATTACATGTGCGTGTGTGTGTGTGTGTGTGTTACATGTGTGTGTGTGTATTACGTGTGTGTGTGTGTGTGTGTGTGTGTGTGTGTGTGTGTGTGTGTGTGTGTGTGTGTGTGTGTGTGTGTGTGTGTGTTTAAGATGGACCAACTATTCACTATATTTTATAGTATTCGTATTCGCTCTCCCATTACAAGATTTTTCGTGTGTGAATATGCGAATATATTCAACTATTAGAAAAAAAAAAGAAATAAGTACAATTACCCTTGGGGGAGGGTCAGGGAAGACAACCTGTCTCCTAAGCCCTCGCACTTAACTTAGTTGTTCAGTTTTCTGTGGCCGAACTATTACAATGTCCATAATTGATTCAGTAAGGGAAATAGAAATCAAATGGCTATGGGCGATGCAGAATAACCCAGATATTCATATAATACTTGAACAATGAAATATGGATTGGTTTGGAATACCAACACACACACACACATACAAACACACTCTTATACACACATATATGTGTGCATATATATATATATATATATATATATATATATATATATATATATATATATATATATATGTATGTATGTATATCACAGATACACACACATACACATATATATGTATACATATATATATACATATATATATATATATATATATATATATATATATATATATATATATGTATATATATATATATATATATATATATATATATATATATATATATATACATTTATACTTATACACAGCCGATCAAACGAACAGCGACAACAGAAACTACTGACCCTCGTCGCCAACAGCGCCTTCCAACGCGGCCGCCCCCCCTGGCGGGGCCTCATCCCCCAGCGCTGCTCCGAGCAAACCAACGAGGAGGAGGACGGAGAGAAAGCGTCCTGCCATGTCTCTGGATGACTTGCGAGTGTAGGATCCGAGTGCAGTGTCCTTCCTTCCTACCCGCGCGGGACTCACTGACTGGGCATGGGATTTGTCTTTGCTCGCCAGGCCGCTTCACGCTGTTGACTCTGGGTGCGGAGGAACACGCATGCGCGCCCGTGAGATAGTCATGTGTGTATGTGACATCTCTAACTATATCACCTCTGTATGAAGATATGTACAGATTTATAGTTTATATATTAAATAATTAAATATACATATGTTTATATACACAAACACACATACATACATATATATATATATATATATATATATATATATATATATATATATATATATATATACACGTATATATGATACCTCATTTACTCTGTCCATTATTATACGCAATCCGTTCTGTTTCAGCAAAAATGCCTTGATCATTTGCAAACCTTACATCTTTTAATAATGCTCCTCCAACATTCACTCCCTTAATAATGTCATGCAATCCTTCTGCCATCGTCCTCTTTGTATAGATTGGAAATACCAGAGGGGTCAGCGTACAGCCTTGTTGAACTCCTCTGCCTATTGTGCATGGATCCGATTCTCCATCCATAACTCTGACTACTGCCTCTTGCTTCATAAACAATTCACAAATCAATCTTCTGTCACGCCGGTCTA